AACCAACTGAGCCACCCAGGCGCCCCGAGAGAGAATCTTAATCAGCCTCCACACTCAGTGCAGAGCCCAACTTGGAGCTCGATCTCAGAACCCTGAGATCATGACCGGAGCAGAAATCAGGAGTTGGATGCTTAACCAACTGAAACACCCAGGAGCCACATTTAATGGATCTTTTTTATAATTTTTTTTTTTTTACTATATTACTGTGATCAGATGAATTTTATTATTATAGCTTTAAACTATATTTTTAACTCTGGGAGGACCAGTCCCATTTGTACTCTTTTCAAAATTTTCTTAGCTATTCTCTGTTGGGCATTTTATTGGAATTTCATTAAATTTAGGAAGTAATTTACAAAAAAATCATATTTCTAGTGTTCCTTCTATCCAGAAAGATAGTTTCCTATTTACTTACGCCTCCTTTTTATCTTACTATCAAATTTATATAAATCTGTACATTTCTTATAATGATCAATCATAAATTTTATATTTTTGTTTTCATATTTTGTACTGATATTTGTTTATATATTCTGATATGTATTTATCTTATATATAACCATTTTGTTAAGCTTTCTCAATAATCTTAGTATTGTTTTGCCATGTTACCTTGACTGTCCAAAAAATATGATTTTATCTACAAATAGTGTTGCACTTGTATTATGGAGTACATGTTTGTGTTCCCTCTAAATCTTACATGTTAAAACTAACCCCCCTTGGGATGGTATTAGCAGGTGGGGCCTGTGAGAGGTAATTATATTTAGATGAGGCCATGATGGTATTAGTGACCTTATGAGAAGAGAAAGAGACTAGAGTTTGCTCTCTCTGCTCTCCATTATGTGAGGACAGAGTGAGAAGACAGATATCAGCAAACCAGGACAGCGGCCTTCAGCAAGAACCAAATCTGTTGGTACTTTGATGTTAGACTTCCCAGCCTCCAGAACTGTGACAGATAAATGTTTGTTGTTAAAACCACCTAGTCAACAAATTACTACCTGGGTAATTTGTTACAGCAACCCAAACTGACTAAGACAACTTACTTCCCATTTTCAAATACTTATAGCTTATTTATATTCTAATTTTATCAACTCCAAATTCCAGAATGGTATGAAATTAAAAAAGAAGACAAACATCTTTGTTTTCATTAGAAATATGTACGTTATATTTTAAAATCAACTTTAAGTATAATTTTCTTAAAATAAAAACAATCCATTATACATGTAAAATCTAAAATGTTTTGATATAACCATGACCCCCAAAAGACATAGAATATTTGTATCTCCCCAGGAAGTTCTCTTGTGCCTGTGACCAGTCAATCTCACCATCATCATCTACAGTAACCACTGATCTGAGGTTTATCATTACAGATTTGTTTTGTCTGAATTCAATTTTTATATATTCCTGAATTCAATTTACTAATATCTTATTTAGAAATTTTGCATCTATTTTAATGAGCGACATTAATCTATAGTTTTCCTTTCTTTGGTTTTTGGG